CCCCTGTGGAAGGTGGCCTCCCCTGTGGAAGGTGGTCTCCCCTGTGGAAGGTGCCCTCCCCTGTGGAAGGTGGCTCCCCTGTGGAAGGTGGCTCCCCTGTAGAAGGTGCCCTCCCCTGGGGAAGGTGGTCTCCCCTGTGGAAGGTGGCCTCCCCTGTGGAAGGTGGCTCCCCTGTGGAAGGTGGCTCCCCTGTAGAAGGTGCCCTCCCCTGGGGAAGGTGGTCTCCCCTGTGGAAGGTGCCCTCCCCTGGGGAAGGTGGCTCCCCTGTGGAAGGTGCCCTCCCCTGGGGAAGGTGCCCTGCCCTGGGGAAGGTGGCTCCCCTGTGGAAGGTGCCCTGCCCTGTGGAAGGTGCCCTGCCCTGTGGAAGGTGGCCCTCCCCTGTGGAAGGTGCCCTCCCCTGTGGAAGGTGGCCCTGCCCTGTGGAAGGTGCCCTCCCCTGTGGAAGGTGGCCCTGCCCTGTGGAAGGTGTCCTCCCCTGCCCTGTGGAAGGTGGCCCTGCCCTGTGGAAGGTGGCCTCCCCTGTGGAAGGTGCCCTGCCCTGTGGAAGGTGGCCTCCCCTGTGGAAGGTGCCCTCCCCTGGGGAAGGTGCCCTGCCCTGGAGGGTGCATCAGCCTGCCCTGCCCCCCACAGATTTCCCGGCGGCAGGGCATGCAGGCTGACCCTGGGGCACTGGCAGCCCTCTGTGAGAAGACGGACAATGACATCCGTGCCTGCATCAACACCCTGCAGGTGGGCAGGTGGGGTGCATGGGGGATGCCCACCGCCCCTGCCGCGTCTCACTGTGCTGTGTGTCTAGTTCCTGCATGGACAGGGCCGGCGGGAGCTGAGTGTGCGGGCCGTGCAGACCACACGTGTGGGCCTCAAGGACCAGCGTAGGGGCCTGTTCGCCGTGTGGCAGGAGGTCTTCCAGCTGCCCCGGGCCCAGAGGTGCGGGGCTTGGGACGTCCTCACAGGGCCCGCACACACTGGGGCTGGCCACTGACCGCCTTTGGTTAAGTGAGGTTCCCATTAGCCCAGGCCTTGGAGACCCCAGACCCTATACGACCTTGTAAATCTGGTCCTCGGGCAGTGAGAACCGTGGGGTGGGGCTGTGGGCCAGGGGCTGGGGCTGCTCAGGAGGGATGTGGGGGGCTGCTCTCAGGAGGGGTGCGGAGGACTGTCCTCAGAAGGGGTGTGAGGGGGCTGCCCTCAGGAGGGGCACTGGGGGGCTGCTCAGGAGGGGCACGGGGGGGCTCAGGGAGGCGTGTGTGTGTGTGTGTGTATACCGTTCAGCCTCCGTGTGTCTCCCAGGCACCGTGTGGGCCAGGACCAGGCCCCGCCTGCCCATGCACTGCTGACCGGGGCAGATGGGGGACCCTGCTCCTCCGAGGGGGCCTTGACCTCAGCCTCGCAGCGTTTCCACCGAGTGCTGCTCGTGGCCGCCTCCGCTGGTGACCACGGGAAGGTGGTGCAGGTAACTCGTGGCCGGCAGGCTCACGGGCGTGTGGGGCCTGGTGTGTGCCCTGGGCCCTGGCAAGGCCCACCGTAGTGCACAGAGATGCTCCAGGAGAAGAAAAGTGGGGGTGCGGAGGCTCCCCATCAGGGAGGGTGTGCAGGTGAGGGGCGGGGCCCGTTGGGCTGCGGCCGGGTTATGGATCCCAGGTGCGTTTGGGCGCTGGGGGCCCTTGGCTGAGGTTTGGTCAGAGCAGGTGGCAGATGGCTCCCCATCCCTGAATCCGTCTAAGCTGGTCCCCAGCCCCAAGCAGCTTTGGATTACGGACTGAGATCCTGGGAATCCCTGGAGCAGGCGGCTTAGCACGGGGTGGGGGGTGCACTCTCTGGGTGGGGTGCTCTGTGGGTCAGGGCTCAGTGTGGGTGACGGGTGCTCGGTGGGGCTCAGTGTTGGGGGGTCAGTGTGAGGTGCTCAGTGAGGTGTTCATTGGGGGTAGGGGGGCTCAGTGGGGGTGGGGGCTCAGTGTTGGGGGGCTCAGTGTGAGGTGCTCAGTGAGAGGTGTTCAGTGGGGATGGAGGCTCAGTGGGGTGGGGGGGCTCAGTGGGGGTGGGGGCTCAGTGTTGGGGGCTACAGAGGTGGGTGATGGGCTTTGTGCCTTGGGATCTGGGGGGCACTTTCCTGAAAGCTGTGTCCCTGAAGGAGGAGCTAGGTCCAGCCTGGCTCGCACTGAGGTAGCAGGGTAGGAGGGTCTCCACGCACGTCCTTGGATCTGTCAGACCAGGGCCGAACTTGTCCTCGGCTTGGAGTCCCCCGAGACCCTGGGCGTGGTGGGGGTGAACCTGTCAGGCCGACAGGGGCTCACGGACGCGATGACCACAGGGCCTGTATGACAACTTCCTGCGGCTGCGGCTCCGGGACCCCACGCTGGGCTCCGTGTGTAGCGCCCTGGACTGGTTGGCCTTTGATGACCTGCTGGCCCGAGCGGCCCTGCACAGCCAGAGCTTCCAGCTGCTGCGCTACCCGGCCGTCCTGCCCGCCGCCTTCCACCTGCTCTTCGCCGCCGTCCACGTGCCACACCTGACCTTCCCCAGCAGCCAGCAGGAGGTGCCCACACGGGTCGGGGTCCTGGGCCCAGCCAGCCAGCTCCCCCAGGGTGGGAGGTGGGGGGCTCCTGGGGCTGAGTCAGGCCTTCCTCCCCCACCCACCGCAGGCCCAGGACAGGATGAGCCAGACACAGAACCTGATCCAGACGCTGGTGTCGGGCGTCACACCCTGCGCCCGCAGCCGCACCACGCCCCGGGCCCTCGTGCTGGACGCCCTCGGGCTTCTCCTGGACATTTTCACGCCCAGGCTGCGCCCCGTGAGTGCCAGGGGGCGGGGGGCTCCCCCGTCAGTGCCCTGGGGCGGGGGGCTCCCCGTCGGTGGTGTTGGTGGGGAAGGGCCCCCCCGGGAGGGCATGGCCGGGCTGTGCTCAGCTCCTGCCCCCCGCTTGCCCACAGGTAAGCACACAGCTGTACAGTGCCCGCGAGAAGCAGCAGCTGGCCAGCCTCGTGGGTGCCATGCTGGCCTATAGCCTAACGTACCGTCAGGAGCGCACACCCGACGGGCAGTACACCTACCGGCTGGAGCCGTAAGCGTACCCCCAACACCCTCACCCTGCCTTGCTGCCCCCAGGATCCCTCCCCTGCCCTGGATCCCTGTCCTGCCCAGGATCCCCGATGACACCAGGGGTCACCGCCACGGCTCAGGGTTGTGGCTGCTGCCTGGGGTTGGGGTGTCAGGGCGGGAGGCTGGGGGCTGGGCCTGGGTCTTGGGTTTCCCTGTCTGCCCAGTGTATGGGTGGGATTCCAGCCCAGCCTCCTTGGATGTGACCATGAGCTGGGGGTCACTGCCAGCTAGGGTGACCTCACCCGGCTGTGGATGGGTTTATTGGCCAGCCCTGCACAGCCTTTGTCCCCACCCATCCCCCAGGAGGGACCCCAGGGAGCTCCTAAGTGAGGCACAGAGACCATTGGCCCCAAGACATTGCTGCTCCCCCCGCCCCCCCATCTCTTAGGGCTTGGGATAGGCTCAGCCTTGGTCCTGGGGTCCTCTGGCCTAGTGAGGGGGCCGAGCAGTGTTGAGGGCCTCGAGGCCCTTATGTGAGGAACACACAGTCACTAAAGACTATTAGGAACTGGGGTGCGGTGCGGGGGCATCTAGTTAGTGCTGGCATCTAGTTCCATCCTGATCCCTTCTGGTCGGGGCTGGTTCTTTAGGGGTAATGGGGCACCCTCCCGTTGCACAGGGCTGGGATGGGGCTGCCAGGACTCAGACCCAGACCCCAGTCCTCGAGCTGTGACACTTGGGCTGGCGGGCAGGCCCAGTCCTCCCCGCGCTGATCAGACCCTGGTCTTCCTGCCCTGCTTCTGAGCAGGGACGTGGAGCAGATCTGCCGCTTCCCGGAGCTGCCCGCCCGCAAGGCGCTCACCTACCAGGCCAAGCAGCTCATCGCCCGGGAGATAGAGCTGGAGAAGATGCGCAGGGCGGAGGCCTCAGCCCAGGCCGCCCAGGGCCCCCAGGTGAGGCCGCCCCAGTGAGCGGCACCCCCGGGTGAGCCGACGGGAGGGACACCCCTCTGCCCCATGAACCCTGGCCCCAGGAGAACCCATAGGCCGAGGTGAGGGAGCCCTGGTGAGCCCCGTGCCTGGCAGCTGGAGCCCACGGAGGGGGCTTGTTCCTGCTGTGGTCCTGCCTAGCCAGCCTCACCCTGTCTTCACGCCCCTCTGAAGGGTCAGGAGAAAGGGGTGCAGCACCCCATCCCCCGCAACCATGAGCAGCGCCTGGAACACATCGTGAGGAAAGCCACCTTCCAGGAGCAGGTGAGGTGACCCTAGGGCAGGTGACGGCGGCAGTGGGAGGGGGCCCAAGGGATCAGAGCAGGGTCCTGGCAGTGGTCCTGGCTGCTCAGCACGAAGGGGTCCCGCCTGGGCCTCGGTTTCCCATTTGCGTGGGAGTGGGCTCTGCCGGCTCCACCCCCCAGGGCTGGACCCTGGCTGGGAGCCAGCAGCTGTGAGGATGGTGGGCAGGGACACTCGGGGACCTGGTGTGGGGACGGTGTCTGTCCCTGGCCACGATGCTGCTCTGAGGGTCAGGACGTTCTCCCTGGACCCCCAGCCCGAGAGAGACTTCTTCGGGCGCGAGGTCGTCAGGAGCGAGGCCGCCCTTGGCAAGCGTGAGGCCCCCACAGAGGACGCAGTGGAGTGGTGCGTTGGTGCTGCTGTGGGCAGGAGCCATGTCTGGTTCCGGTTCAACGAGGGCGTGTCCAACGCCGTGCGGCGTCGGGTGTATATCCGGGACCTGCTGTAGCCTGGCCAGTGGGACCCCATCCCAGGGCTGGGACCCCACCCCCGGCCAGCTCCAGGACCCACTCTGAGTCCACTCTGGGACCCCACCCCCGGCCAGCGCCAGGACCCCACTCTGAGTCCACTCTAGTACCCAACCCCCGGCCAGCATCGGACCCACTGAGTCCACTCTGGGACCCCACCCCAGGCCAGCGCCAGGACCCCTGAGTCCACTCTGGGACTCTGCCCTCCATCCCACGCCCAGCTTGCCCTGATTTCACTTCAGGACTCCACCCCCCATCCCTTGCCGGTCCCCGGGACCTACCCTGAGTCCATGCCGGATGGTGCCCCCCATCCCGTGCCGGGCCCCCAGACCTGCCCCAAGTTCACGCCGGACGGGGCCCCCACCCCTGCCCCGTGGTCGGCGTGTCCCCACAGTAAAAATTTTTGAAAGTCTTGGAAAGCCTTTATCGAAGTGGCTGTTTCTGAGCTTGGGGTAACGCTGCCAGAGGGCGTGGGCTTCACAGGATGGAACACTTGCCCTTCTCCACCCACGGATTGTTCTTCATCAGGTCGGGGTTCAGGAAGGGGTCCTTGGGGATCCCGTCCTCGATCCACTTGAGGAGCCTGCAGGCGGCGGCAGGTGAGTGGGGTGGCCCAGGCCTGCCCAGGGGTGTGGTCTTGGCCCATGCAAATGAGCAGGGCAGGCAAATGAGATGCTGTTCTTGGGGGGACTGAGGGCAGGGTCACTCACTCGGGGATGGTCTTGGACGACATCTCCCGCTTGAAGGCCAGCTGGTACTTGAGGCTCTCCACCTCCTTTTTCATCTGAGGGACGTCCCACTCCTCCATGGTGTCGGGGGCCTCGGTAGCCAGCCTGGGGCTGGGGCAGGAGAGGGAGGGAGGAGGTGGGGAGGGGGCAGGGGGGAGCCTGGCTCCATTGCCCAGTGTGGACCCCAGGGACCACACTGTTGCTGGGGCCCCTTCCTCGATAATGAGGTCCCACGGCCCCTCCCCACCTCTTGGGGCCAATTAACTGCAGATCAAACTTTCCCCTCTCAGCTCGGCACCCTCCATCTCAGCCTCATTGACACCCAGCCTCCTAGGACTGGGGGCAGCAGACAGGCACCTTATTGGGGAAGGGGCCTGGGAACTCCTGCTGTCCTGAATGCCACGCTGGGCTCCCAGACGCAAGGAGGGGGCAGGCAGCTGTCATGGCGGGGGCAGGGCCTCAGGGGGCCGGCTCCTCACCTGTCCATCCGGCCACCGGCCCCCTTTGGGCACTGGGAGCCCAGTGAGGCCTGAGGCCCCAGCGGATTTGGCTGACATTTGCATGTCCAGCCTGGAGGGCAGGGCAGGGCTGGGGGGAAAGTACATTGCACAGGCTGCTCCCAGAATTTGGGGTGGGGTGACGCACCCCTGTAGCCTGGTGCCTCTTCCCACTGCCACGACCCAGGATCCCCTTTCAGCCAAATTACAGGTTGAGATCTCAGAAGGGAGGGGCCGCTTGCCTCTTGTCGCCAGCCCATTCCTGGGTCCCACGGAGCCCCCCGCTGTAACCCCTTCCACAGGCTGAGGGGAGCCCTGGGTAGGGAGGCCGTGGGTCAGAGTCCCCATCATAGCGAGGCTGCAGCTGCGCGGCCCAGGGGGGCGTG